ACCCCCTCTCCCCTGGGGGGTCAGCACCCCCCGAGCCTTGCTCAGCACCTCCTGGGCCGTGGTGAGCCTGTCCTCCTGGGGGGGCCGTGGCAGCTCTGCCGGGCTGATGTCTGGCACCTCATCCACGTTGAAGCGGGGGTGCCAGCGGGTCAGCTTCTCCTCTGGCACCACCATGGGAGGGCTGAGGGCGGCCAGGAACGCCTGGAAAGGGGTGAGAGCTGCGTCACGGGCCAGGTACGGGGGAGCCGACCGTTGCCCCACACTCCCAGCACGGCCTGGAGGAAACCTGGAGCCAGGAGACATTCCAGCCACCACCCTCCTGCCGAGAGCATCCCACCAGAACCAGTGCCCTCCTTCAGCCTGGAGGCCATCACACTCCTTCCACCCAGATCTCCAGAGAGTGACCAGCGGGACCCCAGACCCCCGAAGCAGGGGGTGCTGGGGGGGCCTGACCTTGTGGTGCTGCCTGACGATGTCCAGCAGGTTGTGGTGGAACTGCCTCCTGCGCTCCAGCAGGCGCGACGCCGACAAGTGGGGGCGGCCGTTCACCTTCTCCTCTGCGAGGGGACACGAGTGTCACCCACAGCACCACCCTCCTGCCCAAACCTCGGCACGGACAGGCCCAGAGCCCCACCACGGGGCTGAGGTGCTGCCAGAATCACTGCCCCATCACCCTTCTGCTCCTTCCAAAAGTGTTTTCCATTTCCAACCCCATCTGATCCAACCAGGACCAAGCTCCCCCCGAGGTGCACATACCTTCCTCCAGCACCGGTTCCAGCGTGAGCTGGTAGTCAGACTTCTTCAAGCCATTGCTGAAGGTGGGGATGTTCTTCTCCTGGCGCAGCCTGTATGACGTGGGGTAAACTGCCTTGATCTGCCCCATGTGCCGCTCCTCAAACTGCCTGCAACAGCACCCAGAGACCTCTCAGAATCCTGGAATCATTTTGCTTTGAAGAGACCTTTCATCGAGTCCAACCAGCACGGCCAGGTCCCCACTGCCCCGTGTCCCTCACACCACATCTCCACGGCTTGGAAACCCCTACAGGGAAAGAAATTGTTCCTCAGGGACAACCTCAACCTTCCCTGGGGCAACTTGAGGCCGTTTCCTCTTGTCCTGTCCCTTGTCCCTTGGGAGCAGAGCCCGACCCCCACCTGGCTCCAGGCTCCTGTCAGGAGCTGTGCAGAGCCAGAAGGTCTCCCCTGAGCCTCCTTTGCTCCAGGCTCAGCACCCCCAGCTCCCTCAGCTGCTCCACCCCACCCTTGAGCTCTAGACCCTTCCCCAGCTTCAGGACCTCCAAGGCTGACCCCAGGACATGATCCCCAACACCTTCAGCCGGGACCCAAACCGTGCTGCGTGCCGCTGAGCGACTCACTTGCGCATCATGTCCTGCACCCCCTGCTTGACCTTGGCAAAGGTGACGGTCTCGGCGCGGTTGAAGAGCATCCCAGCGATGGTGTCCACGCTGCGGAACATCTCCGCCAGCACCCTGAACTTGTAGGGCAGTGTCAGCCCTGGGGGCAGGTCCTGAGCGAGGCTGTGGAACCGCTGGTACGCGGGGACCTTCCCGCTGCTGGGAAAGGAGAAGAGTCAGGGGGTGTCACGCACCCAGCACGCCCCGATTTCCCCTCAAACTGGGGGGGCTGCATCCTCCCCGCCGCTCCTCACCCCGGCTCTGCAGCAGGAGCTGCCACCCCGGTGTCCCCCGTTCCTCTTCCCGCCGCCTTCTCCCGGATCCCCAGCTCCAGCTGCCGCACTCGCTCCAGACGGCTCCGCAGCTCCCTGCTGCGCAGCTCCGTGCTGCTCCCAGCAGGGACTGGGGGCAACTGGGCCAACTGGGCCAGCGCCTTCACCCGCTGCAGGCGGCACTGCAGCTCCGCCAGGTCCTCCTGGGTGGGGAGGGGGCACATGGTCAGAGCAGGGCTCGCCCCCCAGCAAAAAAAAGACAAAAAAAGGAAAGTCA